CGAAGATGACTACTCTTCGGGTGCTGCTGCACGTTGCCGCTCACCGTGACTACGAGCTTCACTCTCTTGACTTCAGCACAGCTTTCTTACAGGGCAGCCTGCACAAGGAGATCTGGCTGCGCCGCCCACCTGGCTTCACTGGGTCGTTCCCTCCTGGTACCCAGTGGAGCCTCCGGCGGCCAGTCTACGGTCTCCGCCAGGCGCCACGTGAGTGGCACGACACACTGAGGACGACACTGGCGGCTCTTGGGTTCGCTCCTTCGACAGCTGACCCGTCGCTGTTCCTGCGCACCGACACTTCGCTGCCACCGTTCTACATCCTCGTGTACGTAGACGACTTAGTCTTTGCCACTGCTGACACTGAGGCTCTCGCCTTGGTGAAGTCGGAGCTGCAGAAGAGACACACGTGCACAGACCTGGGTGAGCTACGCAGTTACCTTGGCTTGCAGATCACTCGGGACAGAGCACGCCGCACCATCACACTGACTCAGTCACACATGGTGCAGCAGGTCCTTCAGCGCTTCGGCTTCACCTGGTCCTCGCCACAGCACACTCCTCTGGCTACAGGTCACTCGCTCTCAGCTCCACCTTCAGACGAGTCCGTAGAGCCGAGTGGTCCTTACCCAGAGCTAGTGGGCTGCCTCATGTACCTGATGACCTGCACTCGGCCTGACCTTGCGTACCCTCTTGGCCTTCTCGCTCGCTACGTGGCTCCTGGTAGGCACCGACCAGAGCACATGGCTGCTGCTAAGAGGGTACTGCGCTACTTGTGCAGTACATCGGGCATGGGGCTCGTGCTTGGAGGACGGAGTGAGGTGGTCCTCACTGGGCACTCAGACGCGTCTTGGGTTGACGACCAGGCTACACAGCGGTCGTCACAGGGTTACACCTTCAGCCTTGGCTCTGGCTCTGTTTCTTGGCGGTCTACATGCTCGTCTTCTGTTCTCAGCTCCAGTTGTGAGGCTGAGATCTACGCCACCGCCATGGCTGCACAGGAGCTACGCTGGCTCACCTACCTGCTGACTGACTTGGGTGAGCGGCCTCGTTCTCCTCCAGTGCTGTACGTTGACAACAAGGCGGCCATTGCCTTGTGTGAAGAGCACAGACTGGAGCACAGAACGAAGCACATTGCTCTGCGTTACTTCCTGGCTCGAGAGTTGCAGCAGCGAGGCCAGCTTCGTCTTCGTCACGTGGCCACTCGGGCCAACACTGCTGATATATTCACCAAGGCACTTCCGTCTGGTGATCATCAGCGCTTTTGTACTCTGTTGGGCCTTGTGCCTACGTTTCCACACTTGCTGTAGTCTCTGCTTGTACTGTGATATATATATACCTGCATGCTGGCTCTTGCTAGGTAGCCATCACTGTACTGTTATTGCTGCATATATATCTCTGCATGTGAACTGGCCTTGTGGCCATTTGCTTGTTCTCAGAATGTGTGGTGACGTTGTGATCCACCCTGAGCTTGTTTTGCTTCTCTTGACTGGTCTTGTGACCCGTTGCTCTCCCCCACTTTGCCTATGGGGGTGTGTCAAATGATATATATGTGTGATATATATTGGTAGGCTGTAGTGGGGTAGATGTTATAGGGGATAACACTTTAGGGTTGTGTTTCTTGTACCAAACTCTCTCGTCAATCGATTCAACCTTGCCTAGCTATCTCGACACTTCTGTATGATTCGTCTCGCTTCTGGTGCGGTGTTTCGACACGACTGAAGCGCTTAAGTTTCACTGTTTCCAACACCTCTGTTATTCAAGTCTCACGTGGAACAAGTACCAGCTTATGCGTAGCGTTGCCAGTCATCCAAATAATGCACGGTTAGGTTAATCAAAATAGAGTGAAACAAACAGAAATAAGTTCGCGCAAGATTGAGAAACAGAATATCAAACAAGGTACATGCTTCCCATCCAGTAGCCGATCATTGGGGCGCCTCACTTGCTCGCACCACCAACCTTTCAACAACCCCTTCCCCAACCCCAACCCATCAGTGTCACCTTTGCATACTGTCACATTAGTTCTACCCTCTCATCCCATACCGGCTGAGGCTCTTCTCCTGTGAGCCACCAGCTAGCATCCTAAATATTCGGCACTTCTGCTTCTCCTTGCTTGTTTGAGACGTCTCGAGCTTCCCAACCCATCAGCTCTATCTATTCCCACACCCGCCACGGCTCTTATCCTGAGAGCCATCAACCAGCATCCTGAAAATTTGGTCCTTCTGTTACTCCTTCGACCACCAATCCTTCAGTGGCTGCAGCAAACCACTACCCACCCAGCAGCACCACACTCCATCTAGTCACATCTGCTCTGCTATCTCTTCCCATACCCGCCACTTCCTCTCTTGTCCTGCGGGCCATCCGCCAGCATCTTCATAATCCGGTCCCTCTGCTTCTCCTTTGCTCGCCTGCTGCATTCAGTGCCTGCAGCAAACCACTACTCACCCAGCAGTACCACACTCCATCTAGACCCATCTGCTCTACTCTACTATCTCTTCCCATAGCCCCCACGGCTTTTATCCTGCGGCCCATCAGCCAGCATCTTCATAATGCGGTCCTTCTGCTTCTCCTTGCTCTTTTAAGTCGTCTCAAGTCAAGAGCTTCTCAACCCATCACCACGATTATCTCTTCCCATACCCGCCGCTTCCTCTCTTGTCCTGAGGGCCATCAGCCAGCATCTTCATGATGCGGTCCTTCTGCTTCTCCTTGCTCGCCTCCTTCATACAACCCCATCACCTCTACCCTCTCCCATCAGCCTGCTATGCTATCTCTTCCCATACCCGCCACTTCCTCTCTTGTCCTGCGGGCCATCCGCAAGCATCTTCATAATCCGGTCCCTCTGCTTCTCCTTTGCTCGCCTGCTGCATTCAGTGCCTGCAGCAAACCACTACTCACCCAGCAGTACCACACTCCATCTAGACCCATCTGCTCTACTCTACTATCTCTTCCCATAGCCCCCACGGCTTTTATCCTGAGGGCCATCAGCTAACATCTTCATAATGCGGTCCTTCTGCTTCTCCTTGCTCGCCTGGTTCATCTGAGCCACCTGCTGTTTCCAATCCAACGGCCTCTGTGCCCCCCCTGCTCGCCCACCCTGCCCCATACCCCCTCCTGCTCCTTGGCGGCTGGGCATGCCACCTCCCCCACCACCACCACCACCACCACCATAACCCCCACCCCCACCACCACCGTAACCCCCACCACCACTGTAACCACCACCGCCACCGTAACCCCCACCACCACCGTAACCCCCACCCCCGCCACCACCACCACTGTAACCACCACCCCCGCCACCACCGTAACCCCCACCACCACCACCGTAGTTCCCACCACCACCGCCGCCACCACCAGCATTACCAGCAGGCCGCCTCACACCCCCACCCCCATCTTGTCCCCCCCGCCCCTCCCCCACCCGCCTTGGCCCCCCCATTCCCCCACCCCCTCCCCCTCCCCTGCCATCCCCCATTCCTCCCCCACGCCCTCTCCCTTCCCCACCTCCCCTCTCCCTCCCATCCCGCATGTAACCCTGATCGTTCCAATCATCCTCAGCCATTGATTTCGGCCTTGGCCCTCTTACAGACATCGGACCAAAGGTATCCGTGTGGGGCTGGTACGGTCCCCCCATCCCCCCTCCCCCTCCCCCGCCCCCTCGTCCTCCTCCCCCTCCCCTTCCTGCGCCCCACTCCTCTCCCCCTCCCCCCCTCTGCCCGCCCTGTGGCAAATCCATATCATCTGCATAGTGAACGGGCGACGGCCGCCGGGCCTGCGGCTTAGGTCCGGCAGCCGGACCTCCGGTTTCCCTACCTGCCATCCGCATAGACTTGGAGCCCGAACCAAACACCTCCGGTACGTCTCTTCCCGGCCCTCCTCTCCCTGCTCCTCTCCCACCAGAAGGCACTTCTCCTGTTGAAGCCCGCCTATTCGTCTCTGCCGTCCCCCCTCCTCCACCGCCTCCTCCTCCTCCTCCCCCTCCCATTCCCCAGCCCCTCCCCCTCTGCCTCTCCCTCCCCCGCCCCCTCTCATATTCCCCCCGCCTTCCCCCACGCCACCCTGCCCCCCCCTACCCCTGTCCTCCTCAAACCACTCGTCGTCCGCAAAAGGTTTCGGTCGCGTGCCCCGGGCAGATAAAGGACCGAACCGGTCTGCCCGATGCTCTGCCTCCTGCCGCTGCTGCTGATGCTGCCGGATTGGACTCACCATAGAGAACTCGTTCCCCCTTGCCTGGCCATACACCGGCAACCCATCGTCATCAGCATCATCATAATTATGTGCATATAAGTCACTGTCGCTCATATTGAGTTGCACTGAAGCGGAGCGCCTGCTGCCGGGCTGCTGGGCAGTCCCCCAAGATTGGCGAGAGGCAGTGGTAACCGGAGGGGGATCGGATTCGTTACGCGCGACTGATTGGTTCGTTGGGGGAGCGCCGCTCTGAAAGGAGATAGACAAGATGAGGCGAGAGGAGACGAGAGGAGACGAGAGGAGATGAGAGGAGACGAGAGGAGGCGCAAGGAGGCGCTATTGAGAAATGCGAAATATTTTTTTACACAATAGATAGAAAATAGATGAGTGCAAGCGCTACGATTGCGTGATAATGCAGCGGCATGTAAGGAAGATGAATTGCTGTTACTTGCCTGACGCCCCTTCCCTTCACATGCATGTAGAAACCCCCCCTCCCCCTTCCCCCTCTAACCCTTTACCACCCACGTATCCATACCTGCTTCTTGTCGTTATCTCCCCCAATCCGCACCTGCTTTTTGTCGTTATCTGGCAGCGAGTCTTTCAAAGTCAACGCCTCCACTCCGACTGCAGATGCGCCCATCTGCTTATAGGGGCGCCTAAAAAATCCATCCAGTTTATTCCCCCCCCCCCTCTCACCCCCTCCCCCTCCCCAAATTCTTACCTGCTTTTTGTCGTTATCTGACAGCGAGTCTTTTAAAGTCAACGGCTCCACTGCGACTGCAGTGGCGCCCATCTGCCTCTAAATGTCCTTAAAAGTCCACCCCAGTTCATCCCCCATCTCCCCCCATCCGTACCTGCTTTTTGTCGTTATCTGCCAGCGTCAACGCCTCCACTCCCACTGCAGTGGCGCCCATCTGCAGAGACGGCTGCGCCCCGCGGGGGAAAGGTTGCGCCCCTCGGGGGGAAGTCTGCGCCCCTCGGGGAGAAGGCTGCGCCCCTCGGGGGGAAAGCTGCGCCCCTCGGGGGGAAAGCGGCGCGCCTATGGGGGAGGGACTGCGGATGCACCTGGGGCTTCCGCCCTCCGCAGATACCCCCCCTTTCCCTCCCCTTCCCCCTTCCTCCGCTTCCCTCTCTCCCAACCTCTTCACCTCCATGCCGTCCCATGCTGCCACGTGGCTGCCAGCAGCAGGTGCCACGTCAGCATCCAGCTGGCCTTGCTCCACCCCTTCTTCTCCCCATTCCTCGTCTTCCTCCCCTTCCGACAACTCTACATCCTCGTCTACCCAGACCCCTTGTACTTTTTCCTCCCCATCCTCATCCTCGTCATCATCATCATCACTACTATCACTATCGCTATCGCTCACATCACTATCGTCGTTATCTCTCACTCTTTCTTCCTCCCCTTCCACCTTCACTTTCTCCTCAATCCCCTCCGCGGCCCCCTCCTTATCGTCAAGGCCACTCTCACCAGCAGCGCCAGCAGCAGCGCCGGCGGAAACAGCGCCGGCAGTCGCAGCCCCCGCTGCCGCCGCCGCAGCCGCCACTGCCGCAGCGGCAGCCGAAGCAGTCCGCGGGTCTCTAGGAACCAAGCTCCCCGACAGCAATTTCGCTCCCTTCCCCCCTCCTAGCTCCCCTCCCGCGCCCCCAGCCGTTCCCCCTGCGCCTTCCACCTTCAAGCTCCTGCTACCGGTCCCCATGACGTTCTTTTCCAGTGCTGCCCGATCCGACTTCGTTTCAAGCTGCCCGAAAGACTGCGCCCCGCTGGATAAAACGGACCTGTCGCCGGGTTTTCCCCTGCCCGCTCCTTTATTTGTTGTCTGCCCGCCAGCGACCGCCTTCCGCTCTCGCGTTTCGCCGTCCTTCTTGGTCCTTGGTCGGTGCTCCTTCTTAGCATAATCACTGTCGCCCCGCGCGCGCATCTCCTTTTTATAAGCCTTCTTTAACTCCTTCGATCTCGGAGCGTCTCGGACAAACTCTGTGGGCAGATCCTTAGGAAGCTCCCTTTTGGACTGCCCGAACAAACCTCCCGCAGCGTCGTTGATACTTTCCGCGGCGCCGAGAAGCACATTTCGGAGAAAAAGCCTCTTGCTATTAGCGGGTAAACTTGAGGCAGCAGCTGCTGCTAAGTTGGCGCCGGGATCGTCGTCCACGTCAGCGTCCCACGTGGCAACCTCCACCTTATCGCTGAACCGCAGGCGCTTTTTCGGCTCCACGAGCTGTCCCGTGGCGCGCGCGCGTAGCTTACTATAGCTCGATATGGCGGGCTTTAATCCGGGGTACTTCCGCAACTGCACGCGCGGGCGCGCCGGGCGCATGCGCAAACCTTTCCCACTCCTCGCGCCCCTGCCTGCGGCGGCGGACTTAGCTGGCGGAGCTGCGACAGGGCCCCCCCCGCCCCTTTGAGCTGGCGGAGCGGAAGTGCCGGAAGTTCCCCTGAGCGGCCGCGCTCTCCCGCGGCCCGCTGAGCTCCCGCCGCCTCCGCCGCCGGCGCCAGTAGTGCTGGACGGGCCGCGCCGAGAGGCATTGCTAGTCATGGGGCTTCCCCCGGGATTGCGGACGGGAGAAGGGCCAGCCGGACCGCGGGAAGGCGGCGCGCCGGCGGGACGCCTTCGAGGATCTTCCATTGCCGGAAGAGAGTCACCGAGATGCAAATCAAAGAAAGACAGTCCCCGAGATGCGATTCGACGGAAGAGAGTCACCGAGATGCGATTCGACGGAAGAGAGTCACCTAGATGCGATTCGAAGAGAGTCACCCAGATGCGATTCGAAGAGAGTCACCCAGATGCGATTCGACGGAAGAGAGCCACTAAGATGAGATTCGAAGGAAGAGGAGGGTCAAATAGCAGCAGGAAAAAAGGTGTGATTTAGGGCGGAAGTAATTAAATACGCCTTCAGAGGGGTATAAAATCATGCAGGGTTAGGAGGGATATTTCTGCTGGCTATGTTAGGAGAGGACGTCACATTCATTACCAGCCGACACATGACAAGCCTTCCGGTTTCCGTTCCCGTACCCGAGGGCTATCGAACAAGGCCTAGGTCTGGCAACTAGATGATGGAGTGGAGAGAGGCAATGTTTGGCATCAATCAATTGTTGAGTTTACAAATGTGAAAGCTCCGCTCCGCATTTCTAATCAAGCATCAGATCAGAGCCACAAGAGGCGGATGGCTGGCAGGAGGCTACACACGATGCCCGATCCATGCACGCGAAAATGCCCGGCACGCTGCAGAAACTCTGCCCGCGTGCATTCGAGCCCGGGCAGTTGCACCATGGTTATAGGCACGCCGAGCCACTTGGGCAAGTTGGGTAAATCACGACAACTGCAACACTTACACCAACAACAACCGCCCCCGCCCCGGAGTCTCGTTGTCCGTAGGCCAGGGACAGGCAGCACGAAAACTGTGGACGAAATGAGTTTGACGTCGCGCACCTCATCGCTGCCTACTGGATGCCACGTCGTGGTGTTTCAATGTGCGCCAAACACACAAGGCGCACATTGAAACGCCACGTGGAGGCTGCACGTGCAGCTTTGACGCACGTCAATGTTGACGTATGTCTAGCTGACCCACGTCACCCGATGCGGGTGAGCGGTCTCGTGTGCATGTTAGAGCCCCAGCGCTGGGAACACGGCCACCCAGCATGCGGGGTATACACACGTGTACTAACCTTTGTGCCCACTAAACCCACGTCACCCCGTGTGGCCTGTGGTTACCCATGAATGTTACACGCACCTCCGCGTTCCCATTCACACGATGACTGAACCCTCAGCCAAAACTCAACATCAAACCTCAAAAAGCTGACGGGAAGCGGGTTCGAGACAAGCGAGGATAAAACGTCTTGCAATTCCCCTCGACAATCACAGTCTACTCCCACTTTCATTTCAACAACTATGCCTCGTCTCTACCGCCGCGCACAGCTCGCAGTGCACATTAAGAAGGCGATCTGCGCGCATCATGTGCAGAACCCTCTCATGCGCCATGTTGACTTGGCGCGCTGGTGTTTTACTCGGTACGGGCTCCGTCCCGACCGCAGCACGATCGGACGGATTTTGAAGGCGGCGGATCGTTGGCGCGCGCCCTCCGCGGACAGCAACCCCGTCCGTGTTCGTGGCGGAGCCCACCTCGACCTCGAAAGCGCCATGGTGCGCTGGATCTCGAACGCCGGCCCGGCGGGGATCCCGCTCACGCTGCAGACGATCCGCGACCACGTCGCGGTCATCGCAAGTGACTTGGGAAAGCCGCCGACTTTCCGCTGTTCCGTGGGATGGGTGCGTCGCGCTTTGCGCCGCAATGGCATTCGGTGCCACAGCGCTGCTGGGGAAGCCGCGGATCAGGACATGGCTGCGGTCCGCACTTGCAAGGAGAAGCTCCCGCAGCTTCTCCTCTACCTCTGTGTCTCCCCGCGCGACGTGTACAACTTCGACGAGACCGCCCTGTTCCTTTCGGTGTTGCCCCGAAAGACGTACGGGCGTACACGGGTGGCGGGTCGCAAAATTCCAAAGGAGCGCCTCACGGTCGGGCTTCTCGTGAACGCGGACGGGAGCCACGCGTTCCGCCCGCTCGTGATCTCGAAGTCGAGGCGGCCCCATGATTTCCGCCACGACTTCGACCCCGAGCCACTGTGCTACTGGCGCCACAATAAGAAGGGCTGGATGACCGCCCCGGTATATGCTTCACAATTTTTCAATCAATGCATTTACGTCATTGTCGGTTCACGCACGCGGCCATGATAGCTTGTACTAACTTAAACGTCCATCCCCCGTCCCTTTCCGTACGCTTGTGCGCAGCTTTTCACGCTCTTCATGGAGCAACTGAACGCGGCCATGGTGGCCGAAGAACGCCACATCGTTATCCTGCTTGACAACGCCTCGAGTCACGTGCTCAAGACCGAGGATGCCGAGACCGAGGACTTGTTCGGCTTCCGCACGCGGTCGCTGAGCAACCTCCGCCTGGTGTTCCTTCCGCCTAACACCACCGCTTTCACTCAGCCGCTGGACCAGGGCCTCATCGCCATGACGAAGGCCCGGTACAGGCAGCATTGGCTCGAGGCCGTCGTCGAAAGGTGGGTGGAGGGCGGCGCCACCGCGAATTTCGCGCGCTACAAGCCGAACCTCCGCGACGTCCTGGCGTGGCTGCTGGACGCCTGGATGAACATCGGCCCGCGCACGATTCAGAGGTGCTGGTGGCGGACGGAGTGCCTCCCCCTTGCGTGGGCTCTGTCTCTGTCCCACGTCGGCGCCGCAGGCTTGACTCCTGGTGGGCGCGGCGTTGCACCGCTCGACATCGATCTCGATGAGGAGATCGGTGACGTCGGGATTCTCATAGATCGACTTGCTCTCGGGCCGAGCGCGATGCCGGCCGCCGACTTCGTCGCAATCGACGCGGGGCAGCCGACATGCGCCGAGCCTGGGGAGGACCCTTTGGCCGAGGAGCCTGCGACGGCGTACTCGGCTGCCTCGTGGGAGCCGCCGGCGAGCATGGAGGCGGTCTACCAAGATGCGGATCCCGCGTCCCGTGAGGCTCGTCGCTATGCGCGCGCCGCATCTGAGATGCTCATCGGGTACGCGCGCTCCACCTGCATCACCCCCCGCGAGCTTTGCGCACTCTTCGAGATCCGCAACCCGATCATCGTGGCGCGCATGGAGAGGGCGAGCCCGCCGTTGAACCTCAACGCGACCCCGATCGCCACCCCCAGGCTGTCCGAGACCCCGGATGCCGTGCGCCCTCGTCCTCGCGGGCGCGTCCTCCCTGCGTGGATGACGGCGCCATCCCCTCGCCAGGCTCTCATTGATGCTGGCGCGCCTGCCGTCATGGACGGCTTCATGGATGCGGCGGAGTGGGTGCGTCTGTGAGTTGGCCCAACTCCGCCTCTGTACTTGGTGTTTCACCAGGTACACCAGGGTCAACATCTCATTGACTCTGGTACTCGTTGTGCTTCGGGGAGCTGTGTGTTGTTGGTTGAGATGGCTCGCTGTGATTGGCCTGGATGTGGTCTGGGGTTGTTTGTGAGGGAATGGGTTGTTTTGTGAAATGGGCCGTTACAGTTTGATGATCTAAAGTGGTAACAACAACAACAGTTAAAAAACCAAACCAGGCAAGCCAACACTGTTTCGTGTAAAACAAACGTGTAACCATTCGGGTACTTTATAAGCCCATGTTGGCTCTGGCGAAATGCGACGAACTGCTCGAATTGTAAAAACCACTTACAAGCCCAAAGGGCCAGGCAACCTTGGGGGACTCTAACGAGCATTAGGTGTATACCAGCCCACACCACACCACCGCCCCCTAGCAATCCCGCAGGCAGGTGCATTTCTGTACAGTACAGTTTCCAATGGAAGGGCCATCGCTCGCTCATATGTTTCCCGTTGACCATATGTTTGTCAAGGGATGTACAGGGAAGACAACGCGGTGAGTTGAGGTTCAATGAGTTAAAGTAAGACGAAGTGAGTTGTAGTGAGGTGAGGTGACACTTCCTCCCTGTGATTGGCCCAAAGCACACCCTAGGATTGCCTTGCGCTCTTTTGTGCCTCCAAGAAAGCTCGAAATGGGATGCGCATATCTGCCTGTTGCGCGGTGGTCTCGTCTTTTGATTCTCGATTTCCGCGAAGTCTATCTGGTTGGAGGTTTTCATCCGTCGATAGTCTTTACGTGTTGACGAGCAGAAAATTTAGTTGATTTGCCATGCGCAGCGTCCGTCAACCGCGTAAACAGTACAGCTGATCTAGCATTTATGTTTGTTCAAAAAGAGTTGGGGCGAAGCAGGAATTCGCGTCGAAATCGGGCAACATGCAATGATTGCTTCTGGTAACGTCAGAAAATGCAGGGTCGAGAGCCAACCATTCCGATTTCGATTTGCGTAATCCGGAATCGCATCTATTCTCGACTGTTTGTGCTAATTTTAAACGAATCTTGGGAAGCTTGTATTTTACGATAACAAATTTCTAAGCCGCGTAAAGTGTACACACCTGCCCAATAACATGGCATGCACTTGAATAGTGTTCCTAGACTGAGTGGCATGCACCTGAAAATGGCCGGAATTTCCCTGAGGCCTGGCTCGTTCGGTCGGTAATCTCGGTGCCTGTCGTCACTCGGTCTCAGGCCGTGACTCGATTTTCCAAGTTCCACGACCAGAGCCACAAAGGACAAACGGAGGGATAAGGATGAGCAATTTGGCAGTGGTGCGGTGCGCTGCGTTTCTGTTTGTCAACGCCCTACAGTTAATATTTTTATATAGCGTGTACACTTGCATTCTAGCACGGACCCCACAAACTCAATACATATCGGGCAAAAATTAATCATTTGAGTTCAATACCCTTTCCCTCATGACTGTACGCAAATCAAAGTGCATTTGCGAAATGAGCGGGAGGAACGGGCAGTGAGCGAATGCAAGCGTACGGCTAAAGAACTGAATGTGTGAGCAATTGACTCCAGTGAGAAAGTGCATTATGGCCCCCATATCCCCCATGCCCCCCATGCCCCCATGCCCCCATGCCCACCAGTCCGCCTGCTGCTGCCGGTCCCTGCCTTGCTCCCTCCCTCACCATCGCTCCTGCTGATGCCTGCGCAGGGAGGGCGACGGGTCGTGCACACACAATACAGGCAAGATGCTCCGGGATGGTCCAACACTAGCTGAGGGGGAAGAGAGAAAGGGGAGGAGTTGCTGAAATTTGGAGAGGGAAGAGAAGAGACGGCTTCGAGCGGTTCAGGAAGGTTCGGAAAGGTTAAGAGCATTGCTTACCAGGGGGAGGCATTCAGTGTGGCTGGCGATGGGTGAGAGGGAGACGCAGACCTTTCAGGGGTGCAGATGTGCAGGGAGACTGGGGAACTAAAAAGGGACAAATGCGTGCAGATGGGCAGGGAGACAGTGGAATCAAAAAGGGACACAGGGGTGCAGAGAGGCGTGGAGATGGTTGCAAAGGAGCTGTTGTGGCGATGCAAAATTCTAGCGCTTGTGCAGATGCGGACAGGAGCAAACGACAAGGGAAGAGAGAAGGGAAGGACAGCTGCAGAGATAAGAGGAGGGAAGAGCAAGCGTGGTGCTGCAAAGGACAGCGGAGGTGATCAGAGAGGCATAAGGACAGGACCTGACGCCTTGTCTTGACGTCAGGTAATCCCAACAGAGAGATGACGGCAGTAATGCCGCCCGCATCTGCCAAGGCTGTAGCATGCAGCAGCAGCAGCAGCGAGTGGGGTGTCACGTCGGCACTGAGAGGGCTATTCGCGCCACAGCCTCATCCTGCTATAAGGTATAAGGATATGAAATATGGGGAGATGAGATATGTGGAGGTGAATTGCAAGGAATCATGAGAACATGAGATATGGCGATAAGGAGAGATGGAAACACGGGACTGAGGGCATAATTACGAGGCGCATGAGATATGGGGTGAGATACGGAGATGTGAGATAAGGAGTTACTGCCATTCTGGTATGTGTTACGAGCCAAGCTGATGCATGGACGCACCTGCAGGCATGTCACCAGCAACCGCACTGCACCCGTCTCAACCAACCCTCATCGCCATGTCACCGCTGTGCTTCACCACGTGGCCCAATGCGCACGCAGCAGTCTCCCGCACTGCCAGCATGGCATCCGGAAGGCATTCCGTCAGCAACGGCAGCAAGCCCGCCTCTGCCAGCTCAGCGCCAGCGTGGCGCCGCACGGCACTAGATATCAGCGTGGCGTGACTAGATATGCTGCTGCGCGCTTGTGATGTCGATTGGTGCGGCTGAGGGGTAGAGGAAGAGAAGAAGAGGGAACGACGAGGGAAGGCGACACGTTGCGCTGCACGAGGTGGTGCGATTACGTGTGCGACACATTCGCCAGGCGACCCAGCGACAGCGTCGCAGCGGATTGCACGGACGCCATGCTGTCCTGCGCGAGCGGCGGCAGCAGCAGCTGTAGCGCGCCGAGCGACAGCAGATACTCCGCGTTCTGCGGGGGAAGAAACGGCCGAGAGTCACCAGGATGCTGAAATACGGGGTTCGAGATGTAAAGTACGGGATTTAAGATGTTACCATACGGAGTTCGAGATGTTAACATAAGGGGTTCGAGGAAGCTGATGCCATCCTCCGGGTTTCGCGGGAGCATGCTCCTGTGTCGGCGAGCTGGCGAAACGCAAAGAAGGATTTGAACGGCTCTCGGAGGCGGGAAATGCGGCAGGAACCTCACCCAGCAGCGCCATGATTTCGAAGATCATGATTTCGAAAATCGAAGCTCGGATGCAAAGAGAAGCTGAGATTAGACAGCGAAAGAGATTGAGACTAAGGCGCACCTGAGGCGAACCTGAGGCAACTTTCATGACAAACTGCACGCGCGCGTCGCGGTACGCCTCCATTACCGCCACCACGGCTCGAGCCGCATTGAACTGCGTGGGTGTTGGCAGCACCGCAGCCGCCGCCATAGCTAAACGCGTCAGATACGCACTTCTACGACAATAATCACGCGATACACTAGAAGAACCAGCGAATACGGCGGGAGAATGAAAAGTAAGGATGCGGGAGAAGCGTACCCATCGCCGCGCGATCGGCAAGCACCTTTCGATGGTGACGAATCGTGATTCAGGGAGGAGTTTCTTACGGTGGGTAAATATTTCCTAAGTCCTTGTGCGAGCCTACGCTGTCGGTGAGAACACCATTCACGGTCAACATTTCCCTCCCTCCTTCCTGATGAGTTCACGTAAGCTGAATTGACCTGTTTGCACAAGCTCCTAGACACCACACTAGCTGCTCACAGATACAGTAATCTTTGCTCCAAGAGTGTCATCGTGAAGCTTGTATCGAGACCGATAATCTTCGGCACAATGACCAGTGGGACAATCTTATCGGCACGATGTACGTCACAGCAATTGCTCCTTCTACACCCTCATTCTCAGTCTGTGCACAATCGCCACATGCACCGAACGCTTGTAGTGACTGCAACGTGCCTAGAATGGTGCATGCACATACTCTACAAGCACAATCACGACTGCCACGTTGGTAATGCAGCTGTTGACTTTGACTGGCAGGAAGTGTACAGTGCGCTCACATGTGTGGTTGGCTGCCGTTGCTTTTCGCTCTACCATACGTTACCCCTTTCTACCGAACGTAGATATTCTGTATGTGTTTTGAACCTGTGTTAGGAATTGTCTGTTTCTTGTGTGTTTTGATGTGGAATCTTTGGCCACAGTGTAGGACAAAGTGAACAAGTCGTTTCGAATGTTACTGTTTTGGCGCTTGGTGCATGGTGTGCCTGGCAACATTAGGGGGTTCGGCCACAAGCACAGAGACGCTACCTGACAACACTGTTGTCGCTGCTCCCGATTGTGCGTAGACTGAGAATGAGGGTGTACATCGCGTAGCGGGTCACTGTGTGGCGCGGAAGTGAGGGAAAATTTTGTCGGGTCGCATCACGTCAGCAAGATTCCCCCGTGATGCGACCCGACTAGCAAGATTCCTAGTCGCCGACAGCAAGGCAGCTTCTCAAAACTTGCTGCAGTTTCGTGGCGATGGTTCCTCCGCCGCTTGTGCTGTTGGGACGTCAACAGTGATTTCCGTGCCTCCCATTTCGCGCAAAATCGTCCACAGAGTTGTCAGGAAACGCGCTTCGGATGTGAAATGTTTGTGGACGAAATGTCAAGGAGGTACTGTATCTCGACCATCGGGCCGAGGTCCGTGTCAAGCGCAGCACTTTGGATGAGCTTCCGAGTTATGTTACTGTACATGCGTGTACAGTACTCTGGGCACCCAACTCATCCGTGCAGCGGTACAGTGGAAAAATTTGCCATCGTGGAAAGAACCTGGCTCAACACTCGCCGACATCTGGTGGTGGTGACCACCACACCCCGCTGGTTTGCTGAAACCCTAGTGCCTGCTCCCCCACAAGGGCTGCTCTCAGGGAGCCTTCTCACAAGAGCAGAACAGAGAAACGGCCGCGAAGTAGAGCGGCAGAAAAACGCCCGCGAAGTAGAATGACAGAGACGCCCGCGAGTCGAGCGGCTGAACCAGTTCTCTTTGATGCCCTCAGGACTAGTTTCTCACAACACAAAACAGAGTGACTTTCGACCTCATAATCTATTGCACTACATCGATATTAGTTTCTTCCCCACCAACTACTCGTTCCTGGAGCTCCATCAACATTCGCCATCAACTCCACACCATCAATCCAACTCCCATCTTCAAACCACCCTCCGCCCTGCCCACCTACCAAGCTCCAAATGTAAGCATTTGTCATCTTTTCATGCTTGTTGATTTATGCCGTTTTTCTCAATTTCTTTTTTCAGATCTGATTGTATTCTAACAAAGTTGTTTAAACATTTGCAGGACATGTGCAAAGTCAAGGTTGCTTCTGCTCAAGAAACTGTGAAACAAGCATCAACCAGCCCACACCCGCTTGGTCCATCACCATTTACCACCCAACGCGATTTCAACCCGCCATCACACCGCCCTCCGCCCTGCCCACCTACCAAGCTCCAAATGTAAGTATTGGTTATCTTCTCGTGCTTATTGATCTTAGGCCGTTTTTCTCAATTTCTTTTTTCAAATCTGATTGTATTCTAACGAAATTGTTTAAACATTTGCAGGACATGTGCAAAGTCAAGGTTGCTTCTGCTCAAGAAGCTGTAAAACAAGCATCAACCAGTCCACACCCGCTGCAGCTCCATCACCATTTACCACCGACGCGATTTCAACCGCCATCACACCGCCCTCCGCCTTGCCCACCTACCAAGCTCCAAATGTAAGCAGTTGTCATGTTTTCGTGCTTATTAATTTTAGGCCGTTTTGCTAATTTCTTTTTCCAGATCTGGTTGTATTCTAACGAAGTTGTTTTCACTTTTGCAGGACATGTGCAAGTCAAGGGTGCTTTTGCTCAAGAAGCTATGAAACCAGCATCAATCAGTCCACACCCGCTGGATCTCTATCAGCATTCGCCATCAACGTGACGTTCAACCCGCCATCAACCCGCCATCAACCCGCCATCAAGCCATCAACCCGCCATCAACCCGCCATCAAACCGCCATCAAACCGCTCAGCCTCTCTCTCCATTTCAGATGTAAGCTTTGGCTATTCTCAAGGATTGATTTTCAATCGTTAAGCTTCAACTTCTTTTTCAGATATGACTTTTTTCTAACTAAGTTTTTTAAACCTTTGCAGGCAATCAGGTGCAAGTCACGAACGTTGCCTCTACTCAAGAATCTGTGGAACACACAGCATCCAATGCGCACCTGCTGGAGCTTCCATCACCATTTGCCACCAAAGCCACTATCAACCCGCCATCAAACCGCCCTCCGCCCTGCCCATCTCTTCAGCTCCAGAGGTAAGCATTGGCTACTTTCCCCAATTTATTGATTTTCGGTCGTTTTCTCAACTTTGTTTTTCAGATTTGAGTATATCCTAACTAAGTCGTTTTAACCTTCGCAGGATATGTTGTGCAAGTCAAGAACGTGGCTTCTGCTCAAAAAGCTGCGAATCAAGCATCAACCTATCGTTACCCGCTGGAACTCCATCATCAGCCCGCCATCAACCCTTCATCAGCCCGCCATCAACCCTTCATCAACCCGCCATCAACCCGCCATCAACCCGCCATCAAACCGCCCAGCCTCCCTCTCCAGCTCCAGAGGTAAGCTTTGGCTATGTTCCCAAGCTTATTGATTTTCGGCCGTTAGTATCAACTTCTTTTTCAGATCTGAGTTTATTCTAATTAAGTTCTTTTAACCGTTGCAGGCAATCAAGTGGAGTCAAGTACGTTGCCTCTGCTCAAGAATCCGTGAAACAAGCATCATCCAGTCCACACCCGCTGGTGCTCGCATCACCGTTCAGCGCTTCAATCTTCTCTCGTGTGGCGTGCGACGGGCGTGCGCTTGACTGCTTCGGCACGACTGATCGGGAAGTGTCGTTCCCTTCCCTCCCTCCTCTCTCCCTTCACCGCGTGTTCCTTCGTTGTTCCGTTTCGCATCTCGCCAATCCGCCTTGTGTGTTTTTCGACGTTTCACCGTTCCTCTGACGCAAGGGCTGCAGTTAGGAGATGATCCTCCGCGGGTCGGGTTTTGGGTTTGGGTAGTTTAGTTCTCCTCCCTCTTCTGGCTGCAGCCTGCGCGTCACGAACGTCCCAGTTGTTCTGTTTTTCTTGTCGGTTTTTCGATTTCGTTTGTCTTTGTTTCTATTTTCAGTTTTGCATTTTATTTCGTCTTTGTTCTTCTCTTGTCTTTTATCTCCTGTTCTCTTTACTAACTTTGTGCTTTTGTGTGTTTCCTCCGTGCTTTTCAGAAATCTTGACTTGCGGGGCTTCAATAGAGCATTCTCTGAGGACTTCAACACTTCTCCCGCGTCGCGTGCTACGGGCGATTTGACTACGGACCCGCGCGACTGCTTCTGCCAACTCCATCAGATCGGGAAGTGTCGTTCCCTTCCCTCTCGTTCCGTTTACTGCTTTTCTGTCAGTTGTTGTTTCGTTTCATCGCAACTCGCCACTCCGCCATTTGTGTTTTTCGTCGTTCTCCACCGTTCCTCTGACGCAAGGTCTGCAGTGAGGAGATGATCCTCCGCGGGTCGGGTTTTGGGTTTGGGTAGAATAGCTTCTCCTCCCTCTTCTTACTGCAGCCTTAGCGTCAAGAACGTTCCACCCCATTCATTTTCATTTTCGCATTTGTCGTTTTCTTATTTCAGAATTCTCGATTTCTTCACTAACTTTGTGTTATTGTCTGTGTTTCTATTCAGGAGCAACGGATTCTTCGTCATGGAACTACAGACGCGGAAGCTTCAAGGCAGCGATGTTTCACACTACAGCAAACGTCTGAGCAACTTTGTTCTTCAAAACTCCAAAAGTAAGTCATGCCTGCTAAACAATTTAATTCTGTTCGGCATTGTTCATTTGGTTATATGCCACTTTCGCATTTGGCGTTTTACACTTTACTTATCTTGTTATATGTCTTTAATGTGCAGATCAACCCATTTGGCGTGGCGGACAAGTGTCTTCACGGCGGACAAGTCTCTTCGCGGCGGAGAAGTCTTTTCACGGCGGACAAGTCTCTTCACGGCGGACAAGTCTCTTCACTGCAGCAGCAGACAAACACCTTCGGCAGCAGCGGACAAACTACTCGGCAGCAGCGGACAAACTACTCGGCAGCAGCGGACAAACTACTCGGCAGCAGCGGACAAACTACTCGGCAGCAGCGGACAAACTACTCGGCAGCAGCGGACAAACTACTCGGCAGCAGCGGACAAACTACTCGGCAGCAGCGGACAAACTACTCGGCAGCAGCGGACAAACTATCTCGGCAGCAGCAGACACACTATCTCGGCAGCAGCGGACACACTATCTCGGCAGCAGCGGACAAACTACTCGGCAGCAGCGGACAAACTACTCGGCAGCAGCGGACAAACTACTCGGCAGCAGCGGACAAACTACTCGGCAGCAGCGGACAAACTACTCGGCAGCAGCGGACAAACTACTCGGCAGCAGCGGACAAACTACTCGGCAGCAGCGGACAAACTACTCGGCAGCAGCGGACAAACTACTCGGCAGCAGCGGACAAACTACTCGGCAGCAGCGGACAAACTACTCGGCAGCAGCGGACAAACTACTCGGCAGCAGCGGACAAACTACTCGGCAGCAGCGGACAAACTACTCGGCAGCAGCGGACAAACTACTCGGCAGCAGCGGACAAACTACTCGGCAGCAGCGGACAAACTACTCGGCAGCAGCGGACAAACTACTCGGCAGCAGCAGACAAACTATCTCGGCAGCAGCAGACACACTATCTCGGCAGCAGCAGACACACTATCTCGGCAGCAGCAGACACACTATCTCGGCAGCAGCAGACACACTATTTCGGCAGCAGCAGACACACTCCCTTCGGAATTAGCGGAAACCCCCTTCGGAATCAGCGGAAACCCCCTTCGGAATCAGCGGAAATCCCCTTCGTTATCAGCGGAAACCCCCTTCGGAAGCAGCGGAAACCCCCTTCGGAAGCAGCGGAATTCTCTTTCGGTAGCAGCACATAAACCCTTCAGCAGCAGCAAAACCCCTACACGGTAGCAGATGATAACTCCTTCACGACGTAGCAGGTCAACACCGACGACGCAGCTGACGTAGCAGGTCAACGCCGACGACGCAGCTGACGTAGCAGGTCAACGCCGACGACGCAGCAGTTGTAGCAGATTTCAGTCGCACTAAAATAGACTAACTGAAACCGCCGCAGTATCCGCGATTCTGGAAGGGAGGAGACAAGGGGGGGAAGCGGCTAAAACCTTTTGGCAGAGCGGTGGCGAGGGGTTGACTGGGATGGTAGGCGGCGTGGAGAAACATTAGGCAACTGAGTGTGCATGCTCAGGCCAAGAGGCTGTGACATACGCTGCCCGGGAAACTTCAAGGGAATGTGTGATGGAGGCTGGTCTTGTCTTGCATGATTCTGACTGCAGCAGAATCATGCTCGCAAGATACCACACACTCCAGGTAGCCATTCTCTTGGGGTGCCCCGGTCAGCACAAGTTTTTCCTCACCGGGGTGGGTGAGGAGGACTTGATGTCACGGGCTTTTCCACACTGGGGTGGGTGTGGAGGGTCCTTTCCCTCTTGGTGCCTTGTGAATCTTACGCCTCTCACCGAACAGTCAATTCCTTTATACCGTGATGCTGAAGAGGAGGTGAAGGAGTGGGGAAGCTGCTAAGGAAACTGCTAGAAGCTGTTAACGAAGGTGCTTAAGTGTTGCTGAGGACGCTAAGGGGTGAAGGGAGAAGGAGAGAAGCAGCAGCAAAGGGGTGTGAAGCATCAAAGGGGTGTGAAGCATCAAAGGGGTGCGAAGCAGCAAAGGGGTGTGAAGAAGAGAGAAGGGGTGTGAAGCAGAGAGAAGGGGTGTGAAGCAGAGAGAAGGGGTGTGAAGCAGAGAGAAGGGGTGTGAAGCAGAGAGAAGGGGTGTGAAGCAGAGAGAAGGGGTGTGAAGCAGAGAGAAGGGGTGTGAAGCAGAGAGAAGGGGTGTGAAGCAGAGAGAAGGGGTGTGAAGCAGAGAGAAGGGGTGTGAAGCAGAGAGAAGGGGTGTGAAGCAGAGAGAAGGGGTGTGAAGCAGAGAGAAGGGGTGTGAAGCAGAGAGAAGGGGTGTGAAGCAGAGAGAAGGGGTGTGAAGCAGAGAGAAGGGGTGTGAAGCAGAGAGAAGGGGTGTGAAGCAGAGAGAAGGGGTGTGAAGCAGAGAGAAGGGGTGTGAAGCAGAGAGAAGGGGTGTGAAGCAGAGAGAAGGGGTGTGAAGCAGAGAGAAGGGGTGTGAAGCAGAGAGAAGGGGTGTGAAGCAGAGAGAAGGGGTGTGAAGCAGAGAGAAGGGGTGTGAAGCAGAGAGAAGGGGTGTGAAGCAGAGAGAAGGGGTGTGAAGCAGAGAGAAGGGGTGTGAAGCAGAGAGAAGGGGTGTGAAGCAGAGAGAAGGGGTGTGAAGCAGAGAGAAGGGGTGTGAAGCAGAGAGAAGGGGTGTGAAGCAGAGAGAAGGGGTGTGAAGCAGAGAGAAGGGGTGTGAAGCAGAGAGAAGGGGTGTGAAGCAGAGAGAAGGGGTGTGAAGCAGAGAGAAGGGGTGTGAAGCAGAGAGAAGGGGTGTGAAGCAGAGAGAAGGGGTGTGAAGCAGAGAGAAGGGGTGTGAAGCAGAGAGAAGGGGTGTGAAGCAGAGAGAAGGGGTGTGAAGCAGAGAGAAGGGGTGTGAAGCAGAGAGAAGGGGTGTGAAGCAGAGAGAAGGGGTGTGAAGCAGAGAGAAGGGGTGTGAAGCAGAGAGAAGGGGTGTGAAGCAGAGAGAAGGGGTGTGAAGCAGAGAGAAGGGGTGTGAAGCAGAGAGAAGGGGTGTGAAGCAGAGAGAAGGGGTGTGAAGCAGAGAGAAGGGGTGTGAAGCAGAGAGAAGGGGTGTGAAGCAGAGAGAAGGGGTGTGAAGCAGAGAGAAGGGGTGTGAAGCAGAGAGAAGGGGTGTGAAGCAGAGAGAAGGGGTGTGAAGCAGAGAGAAGGGGTGTGAAGCAGAGAGAAGGGGTGTGAAGCAGAGAGAAGGGGTGTGAAGCAGAGAGAAGGGGTGTGAAGCAGAGAGAAGGGGTGTGAAGCAGAGAGAAGGGGTGTGAAGCAGAGAGAAGGGGTGTGAAGCAGAGAGAAGGGGTGTGAAGCAGAGAGAAGGGGTGTGAAGCAGAGAGAAGGGGTGTGAAGCAGAGAGAAGGGGTGTGAAGCAGAGAGAAGGGGTGTGAAGCAGAGAGAAGGGGTGTGAAGCAGAGAGAAGGGGTGTGAAGCAGAGAGAAGGGGTGTGAAGCAGAGAGAAGGGGTGTGAAGCAGAGAGAAGGGGTGTGAAGCAGAGAGAAGGGGTGTGAAGCAGAGAGAAGGGGTGTGAAGCAGAGAGAAGGGGTGTGAAGCAGAGAGAAGGGGTGTGAAGCAGAGAGAAGGGGTGTGAAGCAGAGAGAAGGGGTGTGAAGCAGAGAGAAGGGGTGTGAAGCAGAGAGAAGGGGTGTGAAGCAGAGAGAAGGGGTGTGAAGCAGAGAGAAGGGGTGTGAAGCAGAGAGAAGGGGTGTGAAGCAGAGAGAAGGGGTGTGAAGCAGAGAGAAGGGGTGTGAAGCAGAGAGAAGGGGTGTGAAGCAGAGAGAAGGGATGTGAAGCAGAGAGAAGGGGTGTGAAGCAGAGAGAAGGGGTGTGAAGCAGAGAGAAGGGATGTGAAGCGGAGGGGTAAGAAGCAGAGGACGGGTAAGAAGCAGATGCTCAGGCAGATGCTAAGGTCCGCTGCTGTAGGGGAGAAAGGGTGAAGTAGTAGTGGGGAGGTAAGAAGCAGAGGAGGGGTAAGAAGCAAAGGTGGGTAAGAAGCAGAGAAGGGGTGTGAAGCAGAGAAGGGGTGTGAAGCAGAGGAGGGGTAAGAAGCAGAGGAGGGGTAAGAAGCAGAGAAGGGGAAAGAAGCAGAGAAGGGGAAAGAAGCAGAGGAGAGGTATGAAGCAAAGAGAAGGGGTACGAAGAGAAGGGGTGTGAAGTAAAGAGGGGGTGTGAAGCGGAGTGGTAAGAAGCAGATGCTAAGGTCCGCTGCTGTAGGGGAGAAAGGGTGAAGTAGCAGTGGGGGGGTAAGAAGCTAAGGGGGGTAAGAAGCAGAGGAGGGGTGTGAATCAGAGGAGGGGTAAGAAGCAGAGGAGGGGTAAGAAGCAGAGGAGGAGTAATAAGCAGAGGAGTACAAAGCAGAGGAGGAATAATAAGCAGAGGAGGGGTAAGAAGCAGATGCTAAGAAAGATGCTAAGGTCCGCTGCTGTAGGGGAGAAATGGTGAAGTAGCAAAGGGGGGGGGTAAGAAGCAGAGGAGGGGTAAGTAGCAGAGAAGGGGTGTGAAGCAGAGAAGGGGTGTGAAGCAGCAGAGAAGGGGTGCAGGAGAGAAGCAGAGAAGGGGTGCAGGAGAGAAGCAGAGAAGGGGTGCAGGAGAGAAGCAGAGAAGGGGTGCAGGAGAGAAGCAGAGAAGGGGTGCAGGAGAGAAGCAGAGAAGGGGTGCAGGAGAGAAGCAGAGAAGGGGTGCAGGAGAGAAGCAGAGAAGGGGGTGAAGGAGAGAGAAGGGTTGAAGCACAGACAAGGGTGAAGCAAAGAAGCAGAAAGGGAGTAAGGGAAGTGGGAAAGTAGGAAGGGGAGGAGACAAGGAGAAGGAGAGAAAAGGATGAAGTAATATAAGAGGGAGTGCAGCAGGGGAGGTGGGGTGATGAGCTGGAGCAGTGGGCTTACCTCCACCAAATGCACCTCCACTGCTGCACTGGGGAATGGGGGAGGAGAACAAATGGATGTATAGAGGATGACTAGATAGACACCAGATCGAAGTAGTTACCCTGTAAAAGCGTGTAAGACATTGTTATTTATTAGTTGTTCTCCATGTGATTAGCATCTGAAGTTGCAAGGAATGATTTGGAGGCAAGTCAGGTGTACTGTAACCTTTTGGGAAGAATGTACATCAGACTGACACCTTTTAATATGGTCAATAATGGACGCATAATGGTGCCTGACCCACAGGTCCAATCTGCACAGCACACTTCATTGCACATACCATACTCTATGGACTAGTCAATGTGAAGAAGCCTATAGTCTATGCATACACAATGTACAATCACATACACTCAACTGAACCACTTCTGTATGGTATGCAGTGTATTTATGAACCCTCTCCTGTTGTCTCACAATGGGAGATTATCAGTGTAAAACTATGTAGGAGATTCTTTCAGATCCATCTACCATATGGGTCACTAATCCTTCACACCACAACTTCATCCATTTTCATCCACCGCAACACATCATGAATCAAGAAACACAATCACAACAACACACAGCACCCACCCTGCGCATGCGCAGCACCATCGTCCTTCCCCACATCACTCGCATCCGTCTTCCCTTCCCCGGCCTTCCCCTTTGCACCACCACCCCCCACTCCCTGCTCCTTCCTCGCAGCTTCCCCCGCCTCCTGCCGTTCCTTCCCTTTCCGCGCCTCCTCCTCCTTCCTCGCTCTCTCCCGCTCCTTCTGCTCCCGCTCCTGCCGCTGCCTCTCCCTCACCGCCTCCTGCTTCCCCTCCCACTCCACCACCGCTTCAGCCGCCGCCTCACAAATCTCCAACAAAGCCGGGATCACCTCCTCTGTCAGATCCGGCCGATCTCGGCGGTCCATTTCCGCGCACCAAAGGCCAAGATTCGCCAGATCCATCGCGAGGTTCGGCGGCCACTCGCCAGCCCTCGGATCGAGCAGAACCTCCAGCTCCTCCCTTTCCACCGCAGCATCGATCCTCCGTGGGTTCGGAACATCCCCAACCAGCAGCTGCAGCAGCACGATCCCGAACGAATACACATCGGATTTCGGCCCGAGATAACCTCGTCTCGCGCAGAGATACTCAGGGTCTACGTAATGTTCGGTGCCGACGATAACGGATTTCCGCACCACGTGGGAGTGGCCGGGAGCGAGGTCCCCCATGAGGCGAGCTAGCCCCACGTCGCCGAGCTTGGCAGTGAAGTTGTCGTCTAGAAGCACGTTGGCGGGTTTTACGTCCCGGTGAACGATGGGGGGCTTGCGCGTGTGCAGGTGCTGCAGGCCTGCTGCTACCTGGTGGTGTCGGGGGAGGGGAGAGGGACCAGGGTGGGGGGAAGGGAAATGAGGAGAGGAGCTTGGCAGTAAAGTTGTCGTCGAGGAGCACGTTGGCGGGTTTCACGTCTCGGTGAACGATGGGGGGCTTGCGCGTGTGTAAGTGCCGTAAACCCGCTGCTACCTGGTTGGGAGGAGGCAAAAGAGGGATAAGGGGCATGAGCAAGGAGCAAGGTCCCATCTGAAGCACCTCAAATGTCATCACGTGGGAGTGGCCGGGAGCGAGGTCCCCCATGAGGCGAGCTAGACCCACGTCGCCGAGCTTGGCAGTGAAGTTGTCGTCTAGGAGCATGTTGGCGGGTTTCACGTCTCGATGCACGATGGGGGGCTTGCGGGTATGGAGGTGCTGTAGGCCTGCTGCCACCTGGTTGGGGGAGGGGAGAGGGATTAGGGTGGGGGGACGGGAATGGGGAGCTTGGCGGTGAAGTTGTCGTCTAGGAGCACGTTGGCGGGTTTACGTCTCGATGCACGATGGGAGGTTTGCGTGTGTGCAGGTGCTGCAACCCCGCTGCCACCTGGTTGGGAGGAGGGGAGAGGGACCAGGGAAATGAACGAGGAGCTCAGCAGTGAAGTTGTCGTGTAGGAGCACGTTGGCTGGCGAGGGGAGGGGGAAGAGAGTGGGCACATGGGAAGTGAACGACGAGCTTGGCGCTGAAGTTGTCGTCTAGGAGCACGTTGGTGGGTTTGACGTCCCGATGAACGATGGGGGGCTTGCGCGTGTGCAGGTGCTGCAAACCTGCTGCTACCTAGTGTTGGGAAAAAAGGGGGAGGTTAGAAGAGGAAGGGGAACCATGAGGTGAAGGAAAGTGTGGGAAAGCCATGGTAATTGTGGCATTGAGTCAACAACAAACCTCTGCCTAGTGCATCCCCACACTACACCACACCACACCGCACAGCACCTCCATGGCGATGCGGCAGCGCTCGGGCCACATGAAGTCATTTGTACCACACAGTAGCTCACAAAACCACAGTACACCACACAGAACCGCACCGTACCTCCATGGCGATGCGGCAGCACTCGGACCACATGAGGGGTGGGGTGCCGCCGACGCAGAGCATGCGATCCTCATGGAGAGAAACTCGTAGACGAAGGCACGGTCCTCCATTCCCCAACCACGCAGAACCGCACTGAACCACAACAATCCGCAAAACACCACTCTTCACCGCACTGCACCTAGTTGCTCACCTCCATGGCGATGCGGCAGCGCTCGGGCCACATGAGAGGGGGAGTGCCGCCGACGCAGAGCATGCGATCCTCCAGAGAGCCGTTGGAGAGGAACTCGTAGACCAGGAGGTGCAGTCCTCCCCACACTAAACAGCACTGCACCGCATTCCACCACACACACTACACCCTGCTATACCACGCAGTACCGCACTGACCTCCATGGCGATGCGGCAGCGCTCGGGCCACATGAGAGGCGGAGTGCCGCCGACGCAGAGCATGCGATCCTCCAGAGAGCCGTTGGAGAGGAACTCGTAGACCAGTGCGCGGTCCTCCGTGCAATAGCCCAGCAATCTGACAGCATTGGGATGATCAATCCGCTTCTGCACCTCCACCTGTGGGGGATTGGATGGAAGGGTTACAGCAAGGGAAGGAAGAGGTGGGTGCATGAAGAGAAGTCAGCATGCGGTCTTCGAGAGAGCCGTTGGAGAGCAACTCGTAGACAAGGGCACGATCCTCCGTGCAGTAGCCCAGTAGACGCACTGCATTGGGATGATCTATGCGCTTCTGCACCTCCACCTGTGGGTGCAGCAAGGGAAACAAGGAGTGGGTGCATGGGGAGAAGTCAGCATGTGATCCTCCAGGGACCCGTTGGAGAGGAACTCGTACACGAACGCACGGTCCTCTGTGCAATAGCCTAGTAGCCTGACAGCATTGGGATGGTCGATGCGTTTTTGTACCTCCACCTGTGGGGGATTGGATGGAAGGGTTACAGCAAGGGAAGGCTTCCCTATACCGTCGAATTGCATTCCGACTTCGGCGAAATGCTCAGCAGGAGATTCCGCAACTTTCTGCATACACACGATTTTTTTTCCCGGGCAGCCCCTAAAACATTCTGACTGCGTATAGCGTATTAGCTAGCGTATAGCGTTTTGCGTATACACGCTAGTGTATGAACGCTGTACGCTTTAGGGTCTGAGCGTATATTCCAACTTAGCGGTGGACAAAGGCGCGCCGGTGGACCAAGGCGCGCCGGTGGACCAAGGCGCGCCGGTGGACCAAGGCGCGCGCGTGGACCAGGGCGAGCGCGTGGACCAAGGTCACGCGTTGACCAGGGTGTGCACGTTGACCAAGGCACGCGCGTGGACCAAGGCACGCGCGTGGACCAAGGCGCGCGTGTGGACCAATGCACGCGCGTGGACCAAGGCACGCGTGTGGAGCATGGCGCGCGCCTTGGTCCACGCACTCCTTGGAGAGACATCCCACACGAGCGAGTGGTCCTCCCTGCAGCAGCCCAGTAGACGTACTGTATTAAGGTGCTCTATGTAGTGCTTTATGGCCGCAGCTACTTTCATACATACACCCTCTTGTTCATAGAACCACACGCACCCCCTCTCAACCCCTCTCAAAGCCTCACAGACCCGCCCACCTGCCTCTCGATCTCATCCAGGGTCGCTTTGGCATCGGGGTTCCTGCGTTGCTGGATGGCCAATGCTACTTTCACACATACCTTCCTCCAGAGCACCACACGCACCCCCTCTCAACCGCTCTCAACCCCGCCCACCTCCCTCCCGCCCCCCTCTTGATCTCATCCAGGGTCGCTTTGGCATCGGGGTTCCCGAGTTGCTTGATCGCCACCAATGCTACTTTCACACACCCACTTCCCCATAGAACCACACACAATCCCTCTCAGCCCCTATCAACCCCTCTCACCTCCCATTCAATCTCATCCAGAGCGGCTTTCGCATCGGGGTTCTTAAGCTGCTTGACTGCCACTGCTACTGTTACACATGCGCATCCCCACGCACCTCACTTTCGATCTCATCCAAGGCCGCTTTAGCGTCGGGGTTCTTAAGCTGTTTGATGGACGCTGCAACCATCACACAGCCTCTTCCCCATAGAACCACACACGCGCATCCCCACACACCTCCCGCTCGATCTCATCCAAGGCCGCTTTAGCGTCGGGGTTCTTGAGCTGTTTGATCGCCACGGCCTGCCCGTCCAGCCATCCCTTGTACACCACGCCATAGCTGCCCTCGCCACACACACTCTGTCTCTCTCAATCAACCAGACAAGAGCATGCACACACCCGCACGCACCTCTCTCTCAATCTCATCAAGAGCTGCTTTAGCGTCAGGGTTCTTCAGTTGCTTAATCGCCACGGCCTGCCCGTCCAGCCATCCCTTGTACACCACGCCGTAGCTGCCCTCGCCACACACGTTGTTCGGCCAGAAATGGTCCATAGCCGCTTGCAGCTCTTCAAGTGTGTACTGCTTGAAATCCTGCCTCGGGAGCGCGTCGAGTTCAGAGGTGGAGAGGCGGATGGAGAGGGAGGAGGTGAGCGGGTTGGACGGAGCGGGGTTGGCAGCAGCAGGAATGCTGCTGCTGGTTGTGCCATCTCCTGCTGTAGCTCCCCCCGCTGCTGCTCCTGCTGCTGCTGCTGCTCCTGCTCGCTAATGCTGCTCCTGCTGCTATGCCCACTGTTCCGCTGCTGCCACTAAGCCGTTTGCTCGACTGCCCCTCTCTCTCCTGAAACTTCTTCTCCAATCTCACCTTCGCCGCTACTGGCGGTTTCACCTTCCCCTTCCCCTTCCCCGGCGCCCCTCCCCCTGTGCCTCCCCCTGCACCTTCCCCCGCTCCCCCCGCTCCCCCTGCGCCCCCCGCAGCTGCTTCCTCCGCAGCCTGCGCCTTGGCTGCTGCCTGCATGCGGTAGTTGCGCCGGGCTAGCTCCAAAGCTGATAGCCCCTCGTCTCCTGCTCCCCCACTAGCCCCTGCTGCACCAGCACCAGCAGCAGCACCAGCAGCAGTACTTGCACTAGTAGGTGCTGTTGTGGCCACCGCTGCTGCTGCTGCTGCTGCTGCTCCTGCGACTCCTCCCTCCCCAGCAGTAGCGGCAGCAGGGGTGGAGGAGGAGGGGCTGGGGGTTTCCTGTGTGCCGCTGCCCCCCTCCTGTATGCCTAGCAGCTGCTGCTCGTACGCTGGCGTGGCATACCCTGCTGTGCCCGCCTGAAAAGGGGGAGAGTGGGAGAGAGAGATGGGCAGTTTGTTCAAATTTTCCTGTGTGCCACTGCCCCCCTCCTGTATGCCTGGCAGCTGCTGCTCGTAGGGTGCTGTGGCATACCCTGCTGTGCCCGCCTGAAAAGGGGGGAAGGGGGAGAAGGACAGGTGAAAAAGGAGTGAGACGCAGAAGGGGTTTGAGACGTTTCAAATGCTCCTGTGTGCCGCTGCCCCCCTCCTGTATGCCTGGCAGCTACTGCTCGTAGGGTGCTGTGGCATACCCTGCTGTGCCCGCCTGAGAATGGAAGGAAGGAGAGCGGGGGGGTGGGGGTGAGTGAGGAGCAGGCGGAGGAGGAGGAGAGGGACAGTGGAAGTGAGGGCGATGGGAGGCGAGGCGAGAACAGTGGGGACGAGAAACAGTGGCAGGCAGTGGGGATTGGAGTGGGATTGGGAGTGGGTTAGACAACTCACTGTGGTGGGAGCGGGCGGCTGCCCTGATGAAATGGATTTGAGCTTCTTGCCGTCTTCATGATGAAGAGCGTTGAACCGGGCGGGATAGTGGCAGCAGTGAGGAATAGTATGGCATTGGCTGCCACACCGTGGTGGTGGCAGCAGGAGGCTGTCTTGACGAGATGGATTAGAGACGGGAGAGGGGAGGTGATGGAGAGGAGATGCAAGGGAGACGGGAGGCGAGAATTGGAAGGCATTGGCTGACTCACCGAGATAGGAGCGGGCGGCTGCCCTGAGGAGATGAATTTGAGCTTCTTGCCGTCTTCAATGATGAAGAGCGTTGCTCCGGAAAGAGGTGTGGCAGCAGAGAGGGATTGGGAGTGGGTTAGACAACTCACCGTGGTGGGAGCGGGCGGCTGTCCCGAGGAGATGGATTTGAGCTTCTTGCCATCTTCTATAATGAAGAGCGTTGCTCCGGGTGGCAGCTTTGTCTCATCTGAACACGCGTTGATTGTGTGCCACCTGTGTTGGTGACAGGACAAGACGCACGCACGCAATGCAAGGTGACTCTTAAGGCACCTCATAGTAGCGTCGAGTCGAGTCATCCGAGCATCCATTTAATGGTGTGCCACCTGTTTGCAACAAAGATGTGACATATGTTACGTATCGTGTTACGTACACAGAGTGGTGGTGACGTGGCAGTGCACCCTCCCACTTCACCCTCACTCTCCTCTCACTCCCCTCTCAACCTCCCCACCACTCATTGGCTGGCGCCCTTGCCGGCAGAGGAAGCGAGCACCATGTGAGTGGCCTCCAGCTACAGTGCTTCTGTCCCACACACCCCACCCACTCCCCATCCACTCTCCACACAATCCCTCCTTCCTCTCTCACACTCCCCACTCACTGGCTGGCGCCCTTGCCAGCAGAGGAAGCGAGCACCATGTGGGTTGCCTCCAGCTTCAATGCCGCCTCTTTTCTCCTTTCAACCTTGCCTACACGCCCACGATCCTCACACTTAACCCAACCAACCACTCACTGGCTGGTGCCCTTGCCACCCCAATGCACTCCGCACTCACTGGCTGGCGCCCTTGCCGGGGGAGGAAGCGAGCACCATGTGTTTGGCCTGCTTCCTAGTTCAAATTGAAAGACCTTGGTTGCTCGCCAATGCTCCTCTGACTCCCCACTCATCCCCATTCGCCCACTCCCGTCTCACACCCAACCCAACCAACCACTCACTGGCTGGCGCCCTTGCCGGCAGAGGAAGCGAGCACCATGTGAGTTGCCTCCAGCTTCGACGCTGCCTCGAGAATGGCTGCTCCCGTGTCCTCGTTCTTGATCACGTGCACCGTGGAAGGTAGCTGGCAGGGAGGGGGGGAAGTACATAAAACCAGGGATGGATGGATGGATGGCTGGAACTTGGAAGGGTTGGAAGCGAGAAAGGCTGCTCCCGTGTCCTCGTTCTTGATCACATGCACCGTGGAGGGCAGCTGGCAGGCAGGGATGGGGGGAGGAAAACAGACCCGTTGATGGAAGGATGGACCAAAGGGATGGGAGGGATGGGAGGGATGGGAGGGAGAATGGCTGCTCCCATGTCCTCGTTCTTAATCACTTGCACCGTTGAGGGCAGCTGGGGGGGACGGGGGGGTACATGAAACAAGGGATGGATGGATGAATGGCTGGAACTTGGAAGGGTTGGGAGGGAGAATGGCTGCTCCCGTGTCCTCGTTCTTGATCACATGCACTGCAAGGAGCATCTTCCTTCCTGCATGGCCTCTAGAAATGGCGGCGCGCGGTCGCAGCTAGTGCTTCTTGCTCCTTGCACCCAGCACAACCCCTCGGCACCCAGCCCAACCGCTCTGCTCGCATCTAAGCCGACCAACTCACCCCAGCCTCGTCGCTGACGTCCTGCAGAGCTTCTAGAAACGGCAGAAGGCGGTCGCAGCTCCTTGCTCCTTGCACCCAGGCCAACACCTCATCCACCCAGCCCAGCTCCTCATGCACCACTCTGCACACATTTACACCGAATTGCTCACCCCAGCCTCGTCGCTGACGTCCTGCATGGCCTCCAGGAACGGCAGCACGCGATTGCAGATGTGAACCGTGCTTCCTGCTCCTTGCACCCAGCCCAGCCCCTCATGCACCGAGCCCAACCCCTGAAGCACCCAACAACCCAACCCCTCATACACCCAGCCAACCACTCTAAACCGACTCACTCACCCCAGCCTCGTCGCTGACGTCCTGCATGGCCTCCAGGAACGGCAGCACGCGGTCGCAGATGTGCACCGCCACGCTGGGCCCGTCCGCCTCGCTCAGCCGCACCAGCTTCCCCGCTGCAGGATTGGTGCAGGGGGGAAAGGGAGGGGGAGGGGAAGGAGGGGGGAAAGTGGAGGAAGCACGGGGCAAGGAAGGGGGTGTGCTGGCAGCACGCAGTCGCAGATGTGCACAGCTACACTGGGGCCGTCCACCTCGCTTAAGCGCACCAGCTTGCCCGCTGCAGCAGCGCAGGGGGGACATGAGTGTGGAAGGGGGGAGAGGGGAGGGACGAGAGGGACGGGAAATTGAGACGGGGATATGCGCAACGCGAAGGGGGGCGGTCGCAGATGCGCACCGCCACGCTGGGCCCGTCCGCCTCGCTCAGCCGCACCAGCTTGCCCGCTGCACGAGGGGAGGAAGAGGGGAGGGGAGGGGGGGGGGGGGGTTTGGGGCGGCGCATGGGACGCGCGCAGGCGCGGGGGATGCGCGCAATGAGAAAGGGTGCGCTGGCAGCGCGCGGTTGCAAACTCGCGCGGGCCGTCCGCTGCCGACAGGCGCACCACCTGGCGGCCGTTTGGGAGAAGGACAAGGACGGGGGAGCGCAACGAGAAGGGGTGCGCAATGAGGAGGGGTGCGCAATGAGAAGGGGTGCGCAATGAGGAGGGGTCCGCTGGCAGCGCGCGTCGCAGATGCTCGGCCCGTCCGTATTAAAGAGCAAGGACAGCGATTCCCACTACATGCCGGCGGAATGGAAAGATAGGAGAAACGGGAGGAACGAGAGAAGGGGAACTAGATATTCCAGATAATCCTGAAGGGGGTAAGCTGGCTGGAGGCACGCCGTCGCAGATATCCAGTACGCCGTGCCATGACCTGCCACCTGTACCTAACACGTCATCGGTGCCACGTCAGCAGAGTCCACGTGTCAAACCTGAGTTGCGGAGCTCGGTGACGACGTGCGTGAGCAAGAGGCAGACGGTTTTGTCTTGCCGGCGGCTGAACTCGCTGATCGTCCATTCTAACGCCTGCCGGCAATGCTGGTCGTCGCGCACTCCCACCAGAACCCTAATGTCTGACGTCAAATCGACAGCCATGCTCGATGAATCAAGGCGTCAAGAATATGTTATTGCTGGAATAAACTGAGGTCGGGATTTAGTCACCTAGGCGTGAGCGTACTACGAAAGCGATATCCATTAAATAATGCGGTAATAATGCGGAATATTTATTAATGCGGTGCTGAAGCCATGTCAACTTAGCATAGTAGTAAGAATTACGACGTAAACATAAGTGGTTGTGAGGGCTGGACAACATAAGTGGTTCCTATGCAACAACGTTAACCGCATGCGAGCGTAATGTTGGAAACTATCGGACAGGCACACACAGCGCGAAGTCTCCTGCGAGGAATGGCGGCTGTCTGAACGATAAACACGAATAGCCTAGGTAATAATGAGCGAGAGGAGCTACAGGTTCTAGTTATGCCCGTCCATCTAAATGCTATTGGATGGACGACCCGAGAACCCGTGCCTCGCAGCACAGGGACATCCATAGGGACCGTTGGAGATTGGAATATTCCCAACCAATCATTTTCCGCATTCGAGTGTACCATTTGGCAATACATGGTTCTGGCCAGGGAGAATTTAATTTCTTCTTATCGAGGATGCGCGACTGGGCTGATTTGTCACATTCACCCAAGCTGGTCCCATCCAAGCCGAGAGCCCGCGAGTTTGCTACAAAACAGCACAGCTGTCAGAGTTGGTCACCGTGGTCCTCTGAACAGCTTCCAGCAGGACAGGGATGGGTCACCTGGACACACTGTTGACGTGTACGACCTTGTTAATGCCACGCTGTCGCAAGGTGCAAAACCGGTTCGGTTCCGGTGACACGAAGACCATAGAAAACCTTTGAAAGAATCGCCATTACTCCTGCCTCGTACGTACTCCCGCAGGTGTCAAGCTGTGATTTGCCGCACCTAGGAGAGCAGACTCTCACTTCGTGTCAGGTTGCACGAAGGAATGTTGAGACCGCCATGTAACCAGCACGAGATTTCAATTCTGGCTCATCTTTGCTACCGTTCTTGTTTCAACAATCTTGTTTGACCAAGTGAGAGTGAGGAACCCAGGGCAGAGTACAGTATCGGTGTTTCAGAAACGACAAGCGTTACCTGTAGTTGTGTCGCAGGGGGATCGTTGCACTGTACTGGTTCTGCTGCAAAGAAATGGTGTGGTTGGTTGATTGCTTCTTTTCGAGGCGAGGGAAGGATGAACAGCTGCCAACCGAAACTCACCTCACCACTACGGTACCGCAGCCACCTGTCAGTTGTACACCGCCAAGCGCAGAGGCCGTCGTCATAAATCGTCGGAAGAGTTACCAGCTCGCTTACTTCGCGCAGCACAGTTTGCGCCTGCGAGTTACCCCTGCCACTTGAGAACAGCCATGGCTACCCTCCTGAGCTGGAGTTTCTGCAGCATCATGGATGGATGTAAATGGAAAGGGAAATCCTTCTCTTCTCATGGCAAACTCCTCACCCATCAACCTTCCCTTCCTCGCTTACTAACCTTCCCCTGGCAAACCCTTACCTGCTCCAATCTGCATCTCTGCTTCTGATTCTAGGATGTGATGTACGGAATGAGGTCCGTGAAACCAGCAGGATTGACGTGGTACCGTACCCGCCGCTGACCACCAAGGTTGAGACTTCAGGGCCTTCTGAGTTGCTTTCCCCTGAAACACATTTAGCTTAGGGTTAGCTCGCGTAGAGTCGCATCAGCATCAGCATTCGCACTATCGCCAGCACCAGCCTCAGCGTTAGCATCAGGCATCAGAATCGACATCAGCGTTAGCATCGGAACGCGCCAGTCATGAGGTTACGCGGCCTGCATTCCACCCTGCTGCTTCTCCTTGCCTGCGCGCTAGCAGCGCATTATCCGCAACTCACGGATTCGCGAGTGCTGTCAAGAGCCGAGATAGACAGAATCCAAGGTTAGTCGCGATGATTTGGATAGTACCCTTAATGTCGTGAGTTTTGGTCTCGACTCCCCAACCCTGATGCAAACAGGAAGCTTAGAGAGGATTCAGATGGTTTACCGTGTCTTGTGATTTCTGTCACCATCAACGACCCACTCTAGTTATCGTCACGTTTTCATTGGTGTCAGGAGATTAACATACTTGCACCGATTCCTAGCTCGTTTATCTCCGTGTCAAGCGCGCTCAGGTCGTCGCCGAGTCCGGCGACGACTTTCCAGGTCGCATTCTCGTCGCAACGCGATTTTTCGCACCCAATCGATCTCGACAATTCGCATTCCCTTGCGAATGGTCATGCGGGTTACTTGCAGCAGCACCAGCTGTTTCGAATCATGTAGATGCTATCAGCCTCGTTCTCTCCGCCCGCGCCGCGCGAAGCCCCCATTGACAGCCATGCACGCGCAGCGAACCCATCGCGCGCCATGATTCCCTGCTCGCCGCTCTTCCTTATCGTCCGGTTCTTTTCCTGTCTTACCTCCCTCGCGCACGCATCCGCCCCCATCCGCGCGCGTTTGAAGAAGTGTTTTGAGAAGTCTCAAAGCACGCCATGATTCCCTGCTCGCGACTCGTCCTCATCGTCCGGTTCTTTTCCTGTCCTACCACCCTCGCGCACGCATCCGCTCCCCTCCGCGCGCGCAGTGGTGAAGGCGGCGGTAGACAGCCATGCGCGGCAGCTCATAGCCCCTTCCCTTCCGCCGTGCCACCCTCCCTCTCGTTTCCGCTGTCTTTCCCCGCACGCTTTCCCCGCCTCTCCCCCTCCCCCGTTCCCCTCGCGCAGCCGTGAAGGCGGTCGTTGACAGCCATGCGCGCGTGCTCGCGGGGGAGCGGTGGGCGCGCACCTACGGCAGCTTCCGCGTGGCGCGGGAGGTGAATGTCGGCCAGACGCCTTCCGCCGCGCCTGGTACGCCGCGAGCCACTATGCTGTGTTTCCGCGCCTGGTATGCCGCGAGTCACTATACTGTGTTTTTGCGCCTGGTAATGCTGCCACTCACTTTCTTTAAGCGTGGCGCGGGAGGTGAATGTCGGCCAGACGCCTTCCGCCGCGCCTGGTACGCCGCGAGCCACTGTGCTGTGTTTCCGCGCCTGGTATGCCGCGGGTCACTGTGCTGTGTTTCCGCGCCTGGTATGCCGCGGGTCACTATACTGTGTTTCCGCGCCTGGTATGCCGCGGGTCACTATACTGTGTTTCCGCGCCTGGTATGCCGCGGGTCACTATACTGTGTTTCCGCGCCTGGTATGCCGCGGGTCACTATACTGTGTTTCCGCGCCTGGTATGCCGCGGGTCACTATACTGTGTTTCCGCGCCTGGTAATGCTGCCACTCGCTTTCTTTAAGCGTGGCGCGGGAGGTGAATGTCGGCCAGACGCCTTCCGCCGCGCCTGGTACGCCGCGGGTCACTATACTGTGTTTCCGCGGCCGGTTATGCGCGTTATGCCTTCGGCGCGCCTTAATATGGTCTTGCCTTGCGCGCACCGTCATTCTTCCCGCTCTTCCTCCGTCGCCTCTGTTCGTTCGTCGGCCGCGCGTCGGTCCATCGCGCTGCTGAGCTTCGATCTTACGCTTCCTGAACGGTCCTCATCCTTCCCCCGCTCCTCCTGTCCTCCCCTCCGCTCTTCACCCGTCCCTCCTGTTTTCCCCCCTTCCCCCATTTCTCCCTCCCCCCCCCCCTCCTCTCCCCCCGTAGAGGGTCCGGTGGTGGCGGCGGCGTCCGCGGCGCGCCAATCCATCGGGCTGCTGGGAATCAAATCTTTCTTCGAAGACGCCGCTGATCCCGCGAGCGGCAATGGCGCCGCTGATCCCGCCAACGCGAGATCCAATAACGGCGGCGCTGTAGGTGCTTCCGCAGCCGGGCCGTTCGTCGCGGCGGGGAACGACGCGAGCGTCGCGAATGCGCTCGCGAACGGCGCGACGGACAGCAGCAGCGGAGCCTCCGTCTCGTCCTCCTCGTCCGCAGCTACAGCCGGGCCGTTCGTAGCGGTGGGGAACGATGCGAGCGTCGCGAAAGCTCTGGAGAACGGCGGAACGGACAGCAGCAGCGGAGCGACCGCCTCCTCCTCCTCCTCAGTTGCAGCGGGGCCGTTTGTGGCGACCGGAAACGTCGCGAGCGTCGCGAGCGTGCTGGAGAGCGGCGCAACGGACGGCAGCAACGGGCTGTCCGCCTCTTCGTTGCCCTCCTCTTCTTCTTCCTCCTCGTCCTCCCCAGATTCAGCCCCTGTGTTCAAGGCCAAGGGGTGGATGCTGCCTCACACCCAGCAACGTGAGTTCCGCCCGCCCCCCATGCCTTGCTGTGGGTCTGCGTGAACCACCTACCACTCACACACTCATCCGGCTCGGCTGTTAGAGCGAGCATCAAAAGCCCCCCTTGCACTTCTCCCACGCTTCTCCCCGTCCGTCCCCTTGCTTCTCCCCCCTCTCCCCATCATCAGCCCCAGATCTTGGCCCCAACCCCATCGCGTTCCACGGAGGGGCCGTTCTCTCCGACCCAATCACCAGCGTGCTCTCTTTCCGCGCCCATCCCTCTCCTCCCCAACCCCCAGCTTCAGATGTTTCCCCCAATCCCATCGCGTTCCACGGAGGAGCAGTCCTATCCGACCCAATCACCGTCTACCTCATCTGTCCCCACCCCATCCCTCCCCTCCCCCATCAGCGCCAGAACTCTCCCCCAACCCCATCGCGTTCCACGGGGGAGCAGTCCTCTCCGACCCAATCACCGTCTACCTCATCTGGCACGGCACGTGGGCGGAAGAGCGCAAGGCGCCCGTGCGCGCCTTCATCCAGTCGCTCGCGGGCGCGGACGCGGGCGCGGGCAGTGCAGGGGGACGCCCGTGTGCTAATACGTCCGTCCCGCCTTCCCTTCTTCCTGCTCCCTTGCTGCCTCCCCCTCCCATTTCTCCTTCCAACCCTCCAGCTTTGGATGTTTCCCCCAAGTCCATCGCGTTCCACGGAGGAGCAGTGCTATCAGACCCAATCACCGTCTACCTCATTTGGCACGGCACGTGGACTGAAGAGCGCAAGGCGCCCGTGCGCGCCTTCATCCAGTCGCTCGTGGACACTGGCGCGGGCGGACTGGGGGGGAGCGCGGCGGGGAACGAGGCGGGGAGTGTGCGCGAGTGGTGGAACGTGAACCGGCTGTACCACTCGGGCCACGAGCACGTCACTGGGAGCATCGTTCTCGGGGTGAGTGGGGGGAGCAATGTCTCTCTGGAGGGGGCTGGGGCGGGCAGCGGGGCAGGGCGCGGGGCAGGGCGCGGGGCAGGGAGCGGGGCAGGGAGCGGGGCGGGGAGTGGTGGAACGTCAACAGGCTGTACCATTCGGGTCCGCGAGCATGTCACTGGGAGCATCGTTCTCGGGGTGCGTTTCTTAGCAAGGTCTAATCGGGCTGAGTGCTTGGTCTAATGCTAAGAAACGCACCCCGAGAAGCTGTATATCTGATGCTCGACCCCTGCTTGTTGTGCGCCTCTATCCCCCCCCCATACCCCCTCCCTCGTGCTGTGCTGCAGACCCCCGAGGTGGAGATAGAGGCAGCGAGCAGCGGCGAGGGGCAGCAAGCAGCGTGCCAAACACTGTGTGTCTCACCCCTCCCCCCCTCTGCTTCTTGTGCGCCCCCCCCCCACTGCTTCTTGTGCGCCCCCCCCCCACTGCTTCTTGTGCGCCCCCCCCCCTCTGCTTCTTGTGCGGCCCCCCCCCTCTGCTTCTTGTGCGCCCCCCCCCCTCTGCTTCTTGTGCGTCCCCCCCCCTCTGCTTCTTGTGCGTCCCCCCCCCCTGCTTCTTGTGCGCCCCCCCCCCTCCCCCCTGCTTCTTGTGCTTCTTCCCCTGCTGCAGACCCCCGAGGTGGAGATAGAGGCAGCGAGCAGCGGCGAGGGGCAGCCGCCCACATCCAAGAACGAGGTCAACGCAATTATCAACTACCAGGTGCGTCGCCTCATCAACTTGCAGGCAGGTATGTTGTCTTGACTCCACTCCACTACGGAGCTCTCATGATGCATTATGGCGAGGGGCAGCCGCCCGCATCCAAGAACGAGGTCAATGCTATCATCAACTACCAGGTGGGTCACCTCATCAACTTGCACTGCACGTATATATTACGGAGCTCCACTCCACTCCACTCCACTCCACTACTACGGAGCTCATAGAATGGGTGCATGGAGCAGCAATGAGAGGCAGCCGCCCGCGTCCATTATCAACTATCAGGTGCGTCACTCTGTTACAGAACCACCAATCATTATTGCTCCCTCCTCTTCCTTGCCTCTCTGGCCGTCTAAGCTCTCTCTCACCCACTCTCTCTCTCTCCCTTCCTCTCTGCCCCTCAATCCCCATCTCCTTTCCCTCAGCTCCGTTCGCGCACCCTCCCACGCCATGACTCCGCCATCTACGCAGTCTTCTGATGGCGTCGACACCATTGATTTGCTCCCTCCACTCACTCACTCCCTCTCTTACTCCTTCTCTGTCCCTCTCTCTATCCCCCTCCATCCCCATCTCCTACACAGCTCCGTTCGCGAATCCTCCCCCGCTACGATTCCGCCATCTACGCAGTCTTCACCTCTGATGACGTCGACACCATTGACTTGCTCCCTCCACTCACTCACTCCCTCTCTCTCTCCCCCTCCATCCCCATCCAGCTCCGTTCACGCACCCTCCCACGCCACGATTCCGCCATCTACGCGGTCTTCACCTCTGATGACGTCGACATGGCCGGCTTCGGCTCGTCCTTTTGCGCCTTCCATGACGTCAGCACGGTGCACTTCACCTGGACGGGCCTGCCGTCCAGGTTCATCCCCCAGTGCACGCATGCAGCTGCCCCAGGTAACACCTACCCCCATGGGGACAGGGCACTGGCAGGCTTGATCTCCAACTTCGCCCATGTGCTTGCCGCAGCTGCGGCAAACCCGAACCTGCTGTCTTGGTTCGACAAGGAGGGTCGGGAGGCCATGGGTCTGTGTGGTGGCAGCTTCGGCACGGTGTATACCAGTAGGGATCCGCTGCCGGTGGAGTACAATGCGGTGGGGAAGGGTGGAGAGCGGTTCCTCCTGCCCACGAACCTCAACCCTGTGACTGGTAGCTGCGTCAACGGTCTTTCAGTCGCGCCTGGTCAATGCGGGCCCAAGTTTTTTGGCTTCCCATGTGACACAGTCACTGCCACCGAGGCTGATACCGAACCTCCTGCCAAAGCTGCTGCTGTAGGCTCGGACAGTCTGGGGAGTGGTCCAGGGTGGGGGTTGGGAGTAGTGGCAGCGAGTGAGGACGGGGGGGAGGCGGAAAAAGCAGTGGTTGGAGGGGAGGGGGATGCAAGATCGATTAAAGACCCTCGAATTGCTGAAGCAGAGGCAGCAGGACTGGATTTATCAGTTGGGGGGAAGAACGTGGGGAGGTTTCTGGAACCCGGACAGTTTGACCCGGCTAAAGGGGACAGGGAGGAGGATGAGGCGATCAAGGGGCAGGGTGGGGGACGCACGGACGATTCGGGTGCGGGTTCGAATGTGTTTGAGAGTACTGGGTATGCGGATAAGGGCGGGGAGGAGGAGAGGCGTGAGGGGGGTGATGTGTATGGTGGTACCAAGGGTGGCGACCCGTTCGCTGTGGAAGGGGTTGGGGAAGAGGGGGCAGGGGAAGAAGGGATGGGGGCGGATGAGGAGGTGGGGGGAAGCGAGGAGGTGGGAGCAGATGCTGGTGCAGGAGTTGAGGAGAAGAGTGAGAGCAAGGGCGAGGGTGACAATGACGATGATGATGTGTTTCAGCGCACAGGGTACCCGGATAGCCCAGGGGACGAGGAGGTGGGGGCAGACGAGGAGGTGGGGGCAAGTGCTGGGTCAGGAGCAGAGGAGAAGAGTGAGGGCAAGGGCGATGGTGATGGTGATAGTGATGATGTGTTTCAGAGCACAGGGTACCCGGATAGCCCAGCAGACGAGGAGGAGAGCAAGCCCAAGGCGGGAGGCATGGGAGGTGGGAGTGTGGGGGCGGGGGGGAAGGCTCAGCTGGGGGAGGTGAATCCGTTCGTGCACCACTCCAACCCGGATGAGAGTTCTGCTGCTGCTGCTGGTTTGGCTACGGGAGGTACAGTTGATGATGGTGGGAATGGGGATGGTGGTAGCAGCAAGGATAGCGGTGGTGACGATGAGGGCAGTGGCGTGGGTGCTGATGATGAGGAAACCAGTGAGAGTGGTGATGGGGACGTGTTTGAGAGGCTTGGGTACTCGGAAGAGGGTGGGGAGGGTGGGGAACAGGGTGAGGGGAGGGAGCAGGGCGAGGAAAGTGGGGAGGGAGACGAGGGCGAGGGTGGAGAGGAGGGCAAGAGTGAGGAGGAGGGTGAGGAGGAGAGTGGGGAGAGTGATGAGAGTGATGAGGAGGAGGGGGTGGATGAGGGCGGATCAGAGGAGGATGACAGTGGAGATCCTATTTTTGAGTCGACTCAAAAAGAGGAGGATGTCATTGGAGATGCCTCCAACGTGTTTGACAACACAGGATACCCTGATGACAGCGATAGCAGCGATTCCACTGCTGCTGGTGCTGCTACCAACGACGCACACCTGTCAGCCCTGTTCCCAGGCGGCAGCAACACACCGATTGATGTTTTTGATGACCTGGGGGACGGGGGCAGTGAGGAGGTGGGAGCGGATGGAGCAGGGGAGAGCAGTGGGGAGGCGTCAGGTGGATCGTCAGGTGGTGGCGGTGTGTCTGGGGCAGGCGGGTTAGTGTCAGGTGGGTTTCAGGCGGGGTTATCAGCGGGGTTTGAGTTTGATCTGTCGCAGTTCAAGCTGGGCGAGAGGGAGAGCCCTTCTGCTCCGCACTTGTTCCCCGACGCTGCCGCTGCTGCGGCAGTGGGGACACAGGGGGAGGTGCAGCAGCAGCAGCAGCAGCAGCCACAGGAGCAGGAGAGGGAGAAGTGGGTGTTTTCAGGGGTTTAGAGGGATTGATGCACAGGAGGATTGCTGCTGGTGATCCGCTCATGTTGCTGCTCTTGCTGGCTGCTGCTCGTGCTGCTGCTGATGCTTCTCTTGCGTCTGTTGCGACTTGTGATGGAGAGTGCCATCGGCTGGATGCTTCTCTTCTCGGTCATATACAGTAATAGCCCAGGTCCTGATAATAGCATATTTATTTCATTCAATCCGTTTGTGGTGGATGTGGTTGCACTGCACTACAGTTTTTGTGCTCCATATGACACACTTGCAGTCTGATTACGATGTATTGCACCTAGTGTTCCGTTCAGGCTTACCGTAATCACCCAGACATAACACCCGGGGGTATTATGATAACCACAGGGAAAAAAGGGGGGGGTCCTCTCAACGGAAAATCCTATATAATACCCGGGTGGTTATATATGGCACTTTTTAGTGTAAGAAAAAAACTTAATTAGACAATTTGGGTGTTTCAATAGTCGTTATAACATCACAGGTTGAGGCGAGAATTCGAGTTTTGGCGAGAATGTGAGTTTCACCTCTCGGGCCACGTGCAGCGGAAGATTCGCCAGCGTGGCGACAGCGAGATTGTGGAAGGGAGGGAATCTCGGTAGATTCGAAGTGAAAGTGCACGCGAAATTTCATTCAAGTAGCGATTTTCGTCATATCCTTCCGTAAAAAACCTGACTCGATAACAGCTATAATAGGGTTTCGTAAGAAAAGGGGGGTGTTATAGAGAATCACCCCAAAAGGGGGGGTATAGTACAAACGAGGTCGGCTATAGCACCCCCCCCGCACAAGCTACCCGGGGGTGTACTATTACGGGGGGGTGTTTTGTCCGGGTGATTACGGTACAACTCGGTTTCTATATTGCAGACCAGACCACATTGACAGATGTGGGATAGGGATATTTCGGTAGTGTGAGGTCGTGAGCTCCAGTCAGGAGGTCATAGCGAGACCAGGTCATGGAAGAGAATTCCTTAAAGCGACGGGCAACTTTTGGCAGTGTTGGGTTCAGAAGTTTTTTTTTTGAACCAGGCTTGCCAGCGCGAAAGTGTTGGCTGGCGAAAACCAGGATTTCGTGCAGACACTTTTCATCTGCAGTAACAGTTCGCCAGGGTTCTGGGTTTTGGGTAGCAAATATGCACCGTCGCTTTAAAGCGGATCAGCAAGTATTGCTGGACCTGCTGCTGCAAGCTCATTGCACTGCTTGTCAGAATGTGATGTTTGTCTAGCCTGCAGTGGGGTACTCTATAGCGAGTACAGCCCAAATTAGGGTTTGCTATATGTACTCAACTGCCTGCTAGTGAAAACCCTTTTTTCCTGTTTCTTGTTTCAGCCTATTGTTTTAACATGCTATCAGAGCAGGTCGACCCTCCTGGGTCGATCCTGTGGGTGGGCCCACCGTTAGCTTCCGCTGCTGTCCTGTCTGTCGCGCGCCCCGTGGCGCGCGACGGATTTTTCTTCCCGCCACGCGCTCGGGGCGCATGGCGGTTTTCTGCCCGCCGTGCGCCCCGAGGCGCGCGGCGGTTTCCCATCGTCGTGTCGCCCCCGGGGACCTGCGGGCTCTCCCCCCGTCGTCCGTCGTGGCGCCCCCGGGGACCCGCGGGCTCCTCCCGTCGTTCGTCGCGGCGCCCTCGGGAACCCGCGGGCTCCTCCCGTCGTTCGTCGCGGCGCCCTCGGGGACCCGCGGCCTCCCCCCGTCGTTCGTCGTGGCGCCCTCGGGGACCCGCGCTCGGCCCCCCGTCGTCCGTCGTGGCGCCCCCGGGGACCCCCGCGCGGCCCCCCCGTCGCCCTTCGTGGCGCCCCGTCTGTTGGAAACAATTGATTTAAAGCGCTTCTGTCGTGGCGAAACACCAAGTCACAAGCGAAGCAAAGCATATCGAAGCACCGGCGAGTCAACCCTCGGAGGTTGAAGTAACCGCTGGAGGTTACGCGAAAGTCAAAGGTCAGCGACCTTTGACCTGACTAGTACAGTGCGACAGCAAGGACACACAACTGACTCGTTACAGAGCAGTTGCCCGAGTCGTCACTGTATCGAACCGCAACAGCAACAATAAAACAACTATAGTTGTATCCTTTCATATTCCTTGTACTCTTATATAATCTTGTATCTCTTTGCTTTAATCAACTTACTTTGCCCTCACACACTAGCGCAAGGTGGTTCACAATCTCATCATTAAACGCTTCCGTTATTACACCGTTCGTACCCAGAGTTTACCCCTGCAAATATCCTCTAAGGGCTTTTCTCAGCCCAACATGGTATGAGAGCTAACAGGGGGAATTCAACTACTATCAAGTCACCTACAACATCAGAAGACATGGCAACCCAGAAAGAAAGGAGTTCCTCTGATGGTTCTCTCGGCACTACTCCTACACCACCGCCTGCCTCTGGCCTGCAAACGGAGGAGAACCCGGCAACAAGACCAGCAGCGGGGTCTACCGAAACTCCCGCGAACCAAGCTTCAGGCTTCGACCCAAGTATGATGGAGAAATTTTTCTCCTTTATGTCCTTCTACGAGCAGCACCAGCAAGCGGGACCTGCGCAATCAAACAACAGCAACAACAACAACGCCACACCAATGAGTCTCGATGGCTCGTCATACGCGCGCGGAAATCAACAGCAACAGCCTACCTTTGCTCCGTACGAGCGCGGGTCCATCAGCTTCATGCCGCACCCGCAGCCTTCACCTGGACAAGAGAAACCACTGGACGCGTTACAAGTTCAGTCGCAGTTCGCACACGTTCTGAAACTGCAGACGTCAAGACCTTTCGACGGAAAGGACTTCTTCACCTGGTCGTTCGAGTTCGAATTGATGATGGAAGGCGCGCAGATTCTTGGCTTCTTCGACGGAACCCTGCCATACCCAACAAACGGCACACAGTATGAGAAGCAGCAGTACACCTATCAGTCAATGATGGCGTACACAATCCTCCTAAGGAACATCACGCCGACTCAGCAGCAGAACATACGGTCTTACCGGGGATACGGCAACTCCGCCGAGCTCGCATACAACCACTTGAAGAGCCTGTATCAAGCAACCGATAGTGTAAATCAGAGTCGGTTGATGGCACAACTGACAACAGTCGAAATGAAACCAGGGGAAAAGGGGATGGCGTATATCAGTCGCTGTCGCGAACTGCGCGACAAACTCCTGTGGTGCGGAGGATCAATATCAGAAGACGCCTTCGTGACAGTCATCATCGGCGGCCTTGGCCCTCAATGGCGCGCCACAAAGGTCATTCTTCGAGCCCATGGACTCCGAAGTAGCACTCTGCGCTGAAATTCACGCCGAGCAACAAGATATGGACCTGCAAGAAGAAAGACACAAAAGAAAAACGTCAGTACCGGAATTCGCGTTCCACACTCAGCGACGCTACAGCAACAACAACAACCGACAACAACCGAAGCCCATACCTTCAAGCAGCCAAGTGGCATCGTCGCAAGCAAACCTCACGAGTCAACCGCAGTCTTCAACAACACAACCTGCACAAGGAGCAAGAAACATCGTCAGCTGCATGGCAAGATTGACCGACTCCTGCATCACCGAGTCACCGCCACACTACTCACCGGAAGAACAACTCGACAACAGCACGCCCCGCCGCGAGTCACTTCAACCGAACCCAACGTACGCAGCCATCGCCCAAAGCGAGCCGTCCGGAAAAGACACTTGGTTCTTGGACAGTTGCTGCGGGCAGCATATGTGCTCTTCAGGACGCTTCGTGCAGCGAGAGTACCAACTCCAACGCGAAGTAGTCATCACCGTCGCCAACAACCAAAACCTGCGCACACGACGACAAGGCGTGGTTCAACTTCAGTCACGGGAGACAAACGTCATACTGCAAATGACGAAGGTCTTAATAGCAGAAGGACTCGGCTACAACTTACTAAGCGTCAGTCAACTGATGGCGAAAGGGATCCACCTCGAGGCAGACAGCTCCACTCAAGAATTCAAACTGTACCACGGGAAGGGCGGACTTTACATCGGGAAGGCAGTATTGAAGAACAACGTCTTCGTCCTCGACTTCGTCCCAGATCTTGGCACCGCCGACAGCGACGGCATCGTCAGCTTTGCTCCTTGGACACACCCTCCAGATCTTGACCCAGACTTCAGCCCCGGTGGTTTCTGGCACTCTCACACGATACCTGAGGCAGAACGAACAAGAGCGTTAGCAATAATTCGACAATCAGCAGCAGCAGAGACAACATCGGCAACAGCAGAGACAACATCGGCAGCAGCAGAGACAACATCGGCAGCAGCAGAGACAACATCGGCAGCAGCAGAGACAACATCGGCAGCAGCAGAGACAACAACAGCAACAGCAGGAACAACACCGACAACAGAAACAACAACGACACCAATCGTTGGTCCTTCAACAACACCAATCCTTATCGACGATTCGCCACCAACACCCGCGCAGCAGCTAGCTCCAACTCAACGAGAAGTCCACCGAAGCGCCAACTTCACCACCGGCTTCTACTCCAACTCCGACATGTACCGACGCTCACCCGGACATCGCGCCAGCGAAGACATCTGGCATGCACGGATGGGACACCCAAGCAACACAACATTAAACAACACGATAAGAGCAGGAGTGCTCGACAAAGATTCACTACTACTGCACGACGGGAGAGAACTCCAACGAGTCAGAGGAACATGCTTCACCTGTCCTGAAGCCGACTTACCGCATCAGCCGTTCGTCCCTCACCACAACCCAAGTGCACCCGCTTACGCACCACTCGAAAAGGTGTACAGCGACATCCTGTACAATCGCGTGCTAGGACAAGGAGCCTACAATTACACCATCACCTTCATCGACGCCGCCACACGATACGTCTGGCACCTGAATCTCCCGAGCCGCGACATGGCTTTCGAAGCCTTTGTTGTCTGGCTTCCAGCAGCAGAACGAGAATCCGCGGTGAAACTTAAGAGTTTTCAGTCAGATGGAGGTGGAGAATACAACTCACAACGCTTCAAGGACTACCTGGCAGAAAAGGGGATCAAGAG